TGCTGAAGAGATGGTGTCTTCTTGGAAGAGGAAGGAAGGGGGAAATGAACAGCTGGAGAGGGATTCTTGGTCACCATGAAGAACTTTTTGCCAGCCTAACTAGATGAAGGCTTTTATAATACTCCTGTACAATGCAAGTGTAGAGGAAGGATTTCAAGGACAAAAATGAGGCATTTTGTGCACCTGTTTGGGGACGTGCTGTTTGAAACTCCAGGCATTATCATGGGGGAGAATATGGTATGAAAAAAAAGGGCCTTGTCTGAGATTCAAAGGGGGCAGCAGAGATGAGAGCCACGGGCAAATGGGAGACAGAAATCACCTTTCAAGTGTTAAAATGAAAATGACAGCACAGGGACAAGCAATATCTTCACACAACAGCRAAAAGGCAGCTGGTGAAGGGATTCACAATGAGAGGTGACACGGGCAAACAGACAAGCTACAAAAATGATCTTTGCAGTGGTGCTCAGAGGAATACGGGCAAGGCCAGGTTGTGTTAGTGCTAAAGCAAAGGATGATGCAAGAACTGRGATCCGAGTTAAAGAGCTCCTGGTTGAGGATTTTATTGCTAACTGGATAAGCAAGTCTAGATTTTGCTTTTACTTAAAGCAAAAAGATGAAACTTTAAGCGAGGGGATAGGTGTGAGATGCTAAAGAGAAGCTCACTCAGATTGTGAGCTTGATGCAAGGTAACAGTGTTATCCCATGGCTTAAGAAAGAACCAGCAGGAAAGAATGGGCTTTGACAGAAAGAACTCTGCTGCAGTCWGGCATAACTTGCTGACATCTCCTGATGAATTCCTAACCAAACAGGTACTTTAGTTTGGACAGGAGGAGAGCTTTTTTCTGTGCAGAGAGTAGACTCATGGGTTGAGGAAAGAGTCAGTCAGGGAGTTGTGTTTGCAGGATAGAAGATCCAAAGTTAGAGGATTGCAGGAAAGAGGATGGAAGGTCCATAGAAAGAAAAAGGAGAAGATTTGGCCACGATGCAGGGTGGCTGAAGAGTTGGGATGGCTGGGGCTGTCCTGGGGCAGGGGTGTGCCAGAGGTGCTTGATGCCAGCTGGGCTGGGAGTGAAGCCAAAGAGAAAGAGGGAGCTACTGCTTTAGGGAAAGGGCCCCAAAACATCAAGGTGCAATGGATTGCATGGCAGGACAGAAGGTAAAGGTCATGCCAGTGAAATACCACTTTAAATTAAGCTAATGAAAGAATGTACTTGCTCTCTAAYTCTCACAACCTGGCATTCTTTACTTCCCAGGTGTGTGTGAGCCAAGCTTCCCATCATGGTGGCTCAAATTTGGAACAACCACTGTCTCTACGAAGACCAGCAGATAAAACCTATTTATAGTAGTGGGCTCTCCCACCAGGCTGTACATCTAGGGCTTCCAAGGGACATAAAGGGTGGTTGGCCTTCTGTGAGTCAGTGTCTGTTTGATCTTACCTGAGTAACTCTGCAGAGCGCATGCTGTAGGAATGATTGCGTGTCTTTGTATCCTGTGCTACCTTGGCATCTCTGCATCAGCACAAAGAGGAACAGATTTTTCACCCTATGAGAACTGTGATCCTGGCATCAGGCTGAATTAAAATGCTCTTGGGGATAGGTTTTGCTGCAGTCATTTGAGACTAGTGACTGAAAAGGAGRGGGAAAAAATCAAATAGGGATCTCGATAAATAGAATTTCAGATCTTGCATAATACCATTCAATGGCAACAGCAGGTGTTTGACAGTACTGTGAACTTCCTCAGAATGGGATCCTGCCAACATGGCTGTGATTCAGTGCAATGATTCAATGACTGCAGGACGGTATCCTGCCAACCAGCCTTCCAGCAGAAAACTGTTCACCCCACTGCAAACACTGCCAGTCCATTAGCATTTCAGATTTAGTCTATATGCGTGTCAGTAGAAAAAGTGCATCCCCTCCAGGTAATGGAAGGAGGAAGGGAAGGACAAAAATTCCCTTTTCTATCAGGGAATAAAAGGCAAAATTATTAGCTGTAATGTTATCTCTGAGGAGGAACATGGGATATGTGTTTTTTAAGGCTCAGAGTTTGAAAAAAAATTCTTCCTTTTATTCTTCAGCCCTGCTTTTCCTTCCACCTCCAACTAGGAGCCTTGTCAAGAGATTCTCATCAGTTTTCACTTCTGCCTTCTAAACTGTGCAGAAATATTACCAGCATCCTGAGATAAGCAAAGAAACTCAAGGAGCTGTCATTAGCAGTCCCTGTTACAGATACTTTATCAGCTGCTACCCTGCAGCATTTATGCCCTCCCCAGTGCCCACACAGCAAGCCTCCCATGCTCCTGCAGCACAGCCATGCCCCCAAAAGGAACATTCCCAGCTACACAGCTCCTGGAGGCTCTTGGCACGGGTACAGAGGGCAGCAAGGCTCACTCAGCTGTCACCCTCCAGCCATGCAGCCTRCTGGCCTGTGGCCGAGACACACGGGATGAAACCTCCTTCGAGCAAACCCATGGTCAGGGGTGCAGACAGAGGGTGTATGAGCATGCACAATTTGTCTCAGCTCTCCTCTCACTCYGTTTTTCTATTGTGGAGCAGAAGGAAAAGAGAGAGTGGCTCTGAGAAGCAATTCACGGAGCTGCTACTGTAATCTTTGTTGCAGCACAATGTTCTCATGCTTGCCCAGCTCTTTTAAACCTGCTGTAGTATGAATAATGATGTACTCTGAGCTTACAGAGACTCTGTTAAATACTTCGCCTTTTATCACAGGTGCTGCGTAAACTTRGGGGATCAAAAGGGACTCTTTGAGAGGTGATTAGAGCAGGAGCGAAGGCTTTAGTGGTTTAAGCACCACATTTGCAATAATTAGGCTCCCTGGAGTGATAGGTTCAAATCCTAGCAGGGTTGACTCAGCCCTTCATCTCTCTAAGGTAGATTAGATCAGTTTTCTGTAGTAGGGTCATTTGGACAAGACCTTTAAAATGCACAGGCACATGAGTTTTCTTCTTTTACTGCAAGGATGAATTTCACAGATTTATAAACCAGAGATTCAGGTTATTTTACACAAACATAGCTGTCTGCCTAAGCACTATTTGCCAAAACCTGTCTTCACCATTGCAATCACCATGCTGGTGTCCTATCCAGCCTCCCTCCCAGAGGGACTCTTCTGTGGTGAAACATGTAGTGTAGTAAGGGATTAAGCAGTTTGGGATTAAGCAGTGCGGTTTAAATGTATCCCATAAATAAACACAATAATCGGCCTCTAGTTTTTAGCTAAYTCTCTAAAACCTAGTGTTTTCTGCTACATAGTGTTGTTCTCTCGCTTGAAGGTGACTAACACAGTCATGAGTCAAACCAGAGCATGGACTATTGTAGTACCATAGGCTGAGGGAGAGTGAATTCTGTTTTGTGTTTAAAAAAAAAATTGGAAAAAAAATTCTTTTCCAAGAGTAAAGGAGGGCAAGGGTGGGGAGGCATGACTTTTCCTCATGTTCATTTGGTCTACTGAAGAAGTCAAGCTCATTGTCTTTGGGGAGCAGCTCAAGAGAAATGCTCAGAGCAAGTCTTTGGGGCCCTGTTTGGAGAAGGGAAAAAGAAGATGAATCATGGGTCATTTAGGTGGGAAAAGACCTTTAAGATCATTGAGCTCAACCATTAACCCAGCACCGGCAAGTCTACCAGTAAATCTACCAGTAAACCATAGCCCTAAATTCTAGCTGGATTTTGGGCCCTTTTCTTTTGTCTGTGCATATCCTCATGTGATATCCTTGTACTCCTCCTAAGCTGCTGCCACTTCTTCCAAAGGTAATTTTTTTCTTTAATTTCAGCCAAA